TAGAGATAGCACTTGACCATTAAACCAAAGACTTCTGATCACTACAAATGAGGACAAAACTGGTATAGTTAGAAACACGGGATTACTCTGTGGCAGCTTCACCCGTCCAAACTCATAGAAGTTGACAATGAAACTGTACTTTTAAAATGGGCAGAAAACTCCACCGTACATTGAGCAGAAAAGAGCTTTGAAAATGTACCTGCAATTGAGAAGATGAAGGTTTCCAAAGAGCCCTCATTTAGTTCTGGGGTTCCCTCTGGTTTCTTTTCCAGTTGCTTTCTTTTTGTGAAGGTGAACTGCTCAGCATGTGGCAGCTGTAGTGTAACCCCTCACCCTCCCAAAGTAACCAGGCCGTATGAGTAGTCTGGATATATTCTGGGATGTGGTCTCTGTTGCCTTATTTCAGAAACTTTATGTGCCTGTTCTGTTCATGAGGTTGAGAGGAATAGGTATCTCTCTTTCTCTTCTGTATTGTTTCATCCTTTCATAATGTTAATGGGTTGGATCTCAAGTTCCCATAAGTGGAAATTCACTCACATGCTGCTGCTGCTCCTGCATGAAGAAGGGGGAAGGAATAAATTTTTGCTGATTCTTCCTGTTTTGGAGCATTGTGGGACCTTCCAAAACTACCTTCCAACCCAGTCTATTTCAGTGTAGTGAATAGTGGTACTTTTCAGAAAATTCTTTGAGAGAACTGTAAATTATATGCAGTTTTACTTAGAAAGGATGCTTTAGGAAAAACATGAGTGTGTCTGGATTGATTTTTGCAGTAGTGTTGCTGGGTATTAATAAAAGATTTTGCCTGAAGTTATGCCACAGGGGAGAGTCCTCCAATCAAAGAATTCAAGAGAAGAAATGGTTGAGAGCGAAAATGAAGTTAAAATTCATATAACTCTGAGAGGGCATTTTCATTTGTGGCACTTAAACTGTGGAATAGTGTTTTCCTCCTCTCTGAATAGCTTGGTCCCCTCTTTGCCTGCTTCAAATTCTTTTTTGTTATTATTATCTTCATTCAAAGATCACAGGACTGTTCACAACATGAAAGTGCAAAATGGGAACACAAAATACATAACAAAAACAAACCAATAACTCTCCTCCTTCCAACACATTTTAAAGGACATAGAATGTTAATCAGTCAAAGCCAAAGAGAAAGAGAAACATTCCACAAATAGGGAGCCACTGCAGAAAAGGCCCATTCTTGTGTTGCCATCCTCTGGACCTCTCTTAGAGGAGGCACACAAAGATGATGATGATCACAGGCTCTTGATTATTTAAACAGGCACTTAAAACCATTTTATAATGACAGCATTTTTAAAAAGTCAGAGCCTATGATTATATGGATTTTAGTTTGCTGTCCCTGGACATTATTAATATCATTTTTTACACTCTTTGTTTTGCTGTTAGGATCATTATAATGTATACATATTTTTATTTTATAAGAAACGTGTATATCTTATCATAAAAAGGTGGGTTATAATTGCTAACTTAATAAGTGTAATACTTTCCAGTAACATGCAAGTTAACATAGAAAACCTCAATTGATTCTAATTTCTCTACTGTGCATGTAAAAAAATAATTACTGATTGTTCTCCGGCCAAATATGGGAGTGTTTTCAGCATTTTCAGTTTGCCTTGCCTTTCCCTGCACAGATTTAATGGCAAAGAAACCTCCCTTCACAATTTAGAATTCTGTTTATATAGCATTCTAATACAGATTTGAGTTTTCCCATGTGTGTGGTTGTGCATTCAAAATAACAACATCCCCACACAAGAGAGAGGATCAGCAGGCTTGGGCTATGTGTGTGTGTGCACCCTGGAGGTTTGCAAAATACATGCAGACACACAAAATCTGAAAGGAAAACTCCAAGGGAACAAAACCCCTAAGGGAGAAAGTGGCTTATGAATGGCCCGGGAGCATAGTTCACCTTTAATATTGCAGCTCAGACTCTTAGGAGCACTGGTTCTCAAACTTTTTTTCTCTGGGCCACACCTTCTTAATAAAAATTTGCTCATAGCACACCAATTTTTTAAATTGATAAATACATTGGAAAACAAAAAGAAACAACTCTCAGCAGTGCTTGATTTTGAAAAACTATCTATCCATATTCTGCAAATTAAAATATTATTTTTATAATAATACTATGCTTCTTCCTCTTCTTTCTTTGGCAATCACTCGTAGCCAAGTAAGATGGTCTTCCATAAACATGGTTTTAAAAGTGAGTCCGTAAGTGACTGTGGAGGCCAGTTCTGGATCCACACGTCCTTCCACAGTGGGGATGTAGGTTTCCAGGCAGGAGTTGATCACTGTGAGGGTTTGCCAAGTGTGCCTTCCTCTTAGCGCGTTTCTCCCCTTCATCCTGAGTTTGAGCATCTTCAAAACCCATGACGCCTTTTGGTAAAGGCTGTTCTCCAATTAAAGTGCTTGCAGGCCAGTGTTTCCCAGTTGCTCTACTATGCTATGCTATGCTGAAATGTTTAAATGTTTTTTTGATTGTCCTTGAATCTTCCTGCCACTCTTGCTGTCCACTGTTATAGGTTGGGATCTTGTGCTGAGAGAGTAACTTCCAGTAGCCCTATACATTAGTTCACTTTTAAAACAGTGGTACCTCGGGCTACAAACACTTCGGGTTACAGACTCCGCTAATCCGGAAGTAGTACCTTGGGTTAAGAACTTTACCTCAGGAATGAGAACAGAAATCGTGCCAGCAGTGGAAGGCCCCCATTAGCTAAAGTGGTACCTCAGGTTAAGGACGGTTTCAGGTTAAGAATGGACCTCCGGAACGAATTAAGTTCGTAACCACAGGTACCACTGTATTGAACAATTGTGGCAGTGGGGGCGAGGTTACATAAATCCCCTCCCCACTTCTTCCCAGGTCAAATTAAATACTTAATTGCATGGAAAATCATCATGTTCCATTGGTTTATCAGTGTTTCTCAAACTTGGTTCCCCAGACTACAACTTCCACAATCCCTAGCTAGAAGGACCAGTGTTCAGGGATGATAGGAGTTGTAGTCCAGCAACAGCTGGGGAACCAAGTTTTAGAAATACTGATTTAGACTGAGACCAGTTTAGGGTTGCCATATTTTAAAGAGAGAGGAAAAAAAGGACGCTATGACGACTCTCATTTTAAATACCCCTATTATATGTAGGCTATAGAAGCTGTGATATGTTGCTGAGGGGGGCAGGTGAAGAGGAAAGCAAGTCGTAAACTACTGGTTAATGTCTGTGTCTCATCCAGAAATTATAGCCAGAGACATTTTGGCAAATATAAAAAATCCACCTGGACAGAAATTTTACCCCTGAAAAAGAGGACACATGGCAACTCTAACAGTTGCACTTTTTAAATGTTCAAAAACTTTTAATACATTGGGTTACATTCAGTGAAGTCATCCTGACAACAGACATATTGAGACTACAGTGGTGCCCCGCAAGACGATTGCCTCGCAAGACGGAAAACCCGCTAGATGAAAGGGTTTTCCGTTTCGGAGGCGCTTCGCAAGACGAATTTCCCTATGGGCTTGCCTCGCAAGACGAAAAAGTCTTGCGAGTCTTGCCATTTTTTTCTCGCTTCCCCCCCCTTTTTCTAAGCCGCTAAGCCGTTAATAGCCTTTTAACAGCTTAGCCGCTAAGCCTTTAATAGCCGCTAAGCCGCTAAATCGCTAATAGCGCTAATCCGCTTAGCCGCTAATGGGGTTGCTTCGCAAGACGAAAAAACCGCTAGACGAAGAGAATCGCGGAACGGATTCTTTTCGTCTTGCGAGGCACCACTGTAGTTGTCATGGCTGCCTTAAGTCCATTGATTTCATTGGATTTACTCTGATGTAAGACTTCCTTGGATGCAACCTGTAGCATGTGAAGTAAGACCCAAGTTACTCCTTTCTTTGAGGCTAGCTTTGTTTTTTTGTGATAATTTTTATTCATTAGATAACAACAACAGACTGAGCAAGACATCCTAACATACAAAAGAGTTAGGAAGGTGGCTGGGCACAGAAGAAGAGAAGGGGAAGAGAGTTAGGGAGGGAAGGGGATTCTGTTTAAATTGCTGCATTACTCTTTGTTAGATTACGTTGCGATTTTAGGTTTCTGCCCTGAAATTGCGTCTTCCAAATCATCCCTTCAACTAAGTTGCTTAAACAGGGTGGTTTATTGAGGCTTATTCCACTAATTTAGATATGTTTATATACAAGGGGTGTGCAACTTAGTCACCAGTTAAGGGCCGTATCTGAAATTTATATTAGCTAAAGGACTGCACCATGCATGTTTAAAGGGCATTGAATGAATGTAATTGTACATAAGTAAATGGCAGATGCCTCCTACAGCTGCACAGGAGAAACTGCACTACTTGCTGCTACTTAAGCTACTACCTTCAAATATGAAAAGCTGCTAGGCCTTGATGTAGACGTAGCAATTGCTAAATTTGGTTGACTGGCTTCCTTGCTTCCAGTTTTTCATTTTTTAACTATCAGGCTAATTTTTCTTTGTAGCTATTTCCCTTCCTGTAAAGTTGCTTCCTTTAAAATTAAGCTTGTGTACATGAAGACTTGAATAGAGTCCATAGTGGGTGGGATATATAAGGGCCTCATGTGTCTCCATCCTTGGTTCTGCATGGCTTTATCCCTGGCATGCCTTGACACAGTGCTTTGGGTTTAGATTCCCTTTGGCATGCATTATGAATACCTTTTGCTGAATATTCAGGTAGCTGGTTGGAAATCCTTCATACCTTGATGTGAGTGGGGCCATTACACTCCAGAGCCCTTATTCGGTAGAATAATTTCAGGACTAAAAGCTGTGGCATGCTGCAATGCCCCAGGCCCCTAGGCAAACTTCTGTTGACTATTTCAGAGGAAAGAGATGACACATGGCGGGAAGTGTAGCCTTTCTCTCTGCAGGTTTGTATGTGTGAAAGCAGCTAAGAGTGGATTGCACGTGCTTCACCTGCCTTTGCTTCATTACAATACATTTACAGTGTATGGATTTCCTTCTGCTTTCTTTTTTAATAGTTTAATGCTTCACCACAGCAGCAAAGGGAGATAATTAAAAGCAGGAGTCTGGACAGGAGGCTACAGGAACCAATAGTTTTAACAAAATGGAGGCACAGCTCAATTGTGTTGGACACTAATGACAAGGTAGGAATGTCCTAAAGAACATACTGGAGTCTGATCAGTTGTCGTGTATTATTTATTATGTATATTTTTTATTCTACTGTACACTAAAAAATAAAAGAAAAACACTGGTGCAAAATGGTTAGGTTGATCCCTGTAAGTTGCATACAGTGCAATCCTATAAGTTGTCTACTCAGAAGTAAGTTGCACTGATTACTCCCAGATAAGTGGGTGTAGGGCTGCACTCTTAGCCTGACTAATTGTGTTTTCAGCGAAATAATTATTGTACAGTTATGTTTGTAATATATTCTTACATTAATGTAATATATTCTTACATTAATGTAGATTGTTTACTTCGTGTTCGATTCAGAAAAACAATTTATTTCAAATGTGCTCTTATTAAAGCAAACTTTGCTATGACAGGCTGTACTTGTTTTCTCCTAAAGAAGTCAGTGGTACAAAACCTGCCTTGTACCCCTGATCATGGAGTTGCTAGCTTTTGGAATTGGGCTCCGACCTCGGCTGTCTTCCAAGCAGCAGTTTTAATGTCTTGCCCTGAGCTCAGTGGCCTGATTTTTTTGAAGTCATGCAAAGTCATAGTTAAGCAGGAGCTGGAAAGAGGCTCAAGTGAGCCTCAGGTTCATGTGGTTTTCCTTTCCCCCCGCTCCTCCTGTGTGACCAGGAACAGTAGTTCAGCACTGTTTATTTTCAATTTCCCCAAAGCTTGTCTCATTGTATGCAGCCCTGGCTTATGATTTAATAATCAAGTCTGGACAGCTTCAAAACAAAGCCAATTTCAGTCCATGAGTTATGAAATCGGCTTGTTAAATTAACCTGAGTTTGTTATACGCCATGATACTTGGTTTGCATGCAGTGGCAAGCCAATATTCAATGAAAATAAAAGTAAACACAGTCTACCTCCTGGCCATATGGAAGGAGTGGGGAGGGGCAAGGTTTCCTAAGGCTAATTCCAGCTTGTGCGTGATGCGCTAAACCATGGTTTGGTGTACATGGCCACCAACTGCAACATTTTTATTTGGTTAGAGATAATTTATATGCTGCTTTCGTATCTGAAAAAAACACACATCTCAAGTCACAGTCTATGTAAGATCAAGATTACAAACAATAACAAAGAAATTTCAGACAAAGCAATGGGAGCAAGGATGACCAAACAGTAAAGCAACAGGCACCAATGCAAAGCAGCAGATCTCGCCTGTCCCTTTGGTTCTGCAGTTATATGAAAAAGTATGTTTTGGAACTGTCTCCTGAAACTGAAGTAGTGAAGAGGCCAGATATGTTTCTCTAGGGAGAGGGTTGCATAATGTGGAACCCACTAATGAGAGACAATTGTGTTAAAGCAGTGGTGGCCAAACTTAGCTCTCTAGCTGTTTTTGGACTACAACTCCCATCATCCCTAGTTAACAGGATCAGTGGTCAGGAATGATGGGAATTGTAGTCCCAAAACAGCTGGAGGACCAAGTTTGGCCACCACTGTGTTACAGTCTCCCACAGTACCACTACTGCATGTGTGTGAGAGAGTGTAAGTAGTGCAAAGTCTCCAAAGATGGCCATTGGGCAAAATCATATGGGAACAGGAGGTCCTTAAGATATCCTAGCAGAAGACAATAATGGCATCAAAGCACGGGGTGGGGGGGAAAGACCGCAAGAGTATTTTGGGTTGTGGCCCCCTGTTTGTGCTCTCTCCAGTGAGGCCTGCTTGGCACCGGCATAAACAACTCTTCTTCTTCCAAGCATTTTTCTGTTCTGTTCTGTTGGATGTTTAAATTGGTTTGCTTTGTTGTAGTTATGGTATGTGTCTCTATTGTGGGGGGTTGGGGCAGTGGTATTGCTTTTAGAATTGTATCGAAAAAATGAATTTTTTTGCTGCTATCCCTGTTCTGGATGTTTTTATAATGTAATCTAAGAAACAGAATATGCAAAGATGAATCTGGCCAAAGATGGCAAGGGGTTTGAGTAAAAAAAAAAAAAAAAGCAACAAAATGTTGCAGCCTGGAGATCACATGTTCACAGCCATGCCCTCCTCTGATCTTAGCATTCTGTGATTAGTGACTGCACAAGGGCAGTTCTTGGGGTCCTTCTCTCAGGGTCTTCCCACTGGGCTTCTTGTACATTTCTGCCCTGTCTTCTGTTTGTGTATGGATGGTGCCATTTTGGCTACATAAGCGTTGGTGCTTATGTCTTAATAACAGAAATACAGGGAATTGCCTTTTAATGCCCAAGTTTACAAATCTTTTCAGTACTAAAGAAACTGAACAAGAGTTTTGGATGGAGATAGGTATGAATTTCAGGAACCTTTAACCTGTCCTCAAGCATAAAGAGAATTTCTCTTAGTAACATAGTTGCCAACAACACAGGAAAAGAAACTTCACTACAAAGCAGTTCTTTCTGTATCAGCTATCCCTGCAGGAATTGTATTCTGCTTATTTCTTTCTAACCTCCTTAATATTTCAAGTTAGCAGATTTTTTGGGGTGTGTTTGTGTGTGGAATGCATAATTTATGCATAATTCAAAAGCTTGACACTCTCCAAGGATGCAAATCAGTTCTGATTAGATGACATTGGAATATACATTATTTTATTATGCTCAAGATAACAGACTCTATGAAGCAATAATGATATATTAAAATAGTTCTTGTATTTTTACAGTTGCCAACTAATTCTTCTGAACCTCTCTTGCCTAATCCTGCATATTTGTTCCCAACACACCATGAGCAAGTTAGTATCTGACATATGATTTATCTATAGATAGTATTGTAGATAATTAAATTTGTGCAAGGAAAAAACTGTACTAGAAAAATTAATGAAAGGAATGACTGCTTTAATTTGAACATAACTCATTGTCATTCCAGTATTTCAGTATCAGACACATTTTCTGTTATGTCCAAATTCTGTAAAGCTTAAGGAGATTCTACTTTATTTCTGTGTTATAAATATTTCAATACATCTTTATTCCTTAGGATTCTCCGGTTGCTTCAAAGACCGCTTTTCCTGAGAATGAGTATTCTCCTTCCTCACCAAAGCATCAAGCCACAGTCAGTATAAATATTGTCATACACAGATTGTTGAGCTCACTAGTCTGAGGCAAATCCATGGTTGTTAATGTATGCCGAACATTGTTACACTTCACATAGTGGATTGAAGAGAGATTGAAGCCACTTCTTGTGTTGGGCCTTCTCAATGTAATCAACTTCAGTGGCTTCTAGAGCAGTATTTAGAAGATGCATATCTTCTGTTGACTTGTAAGATATATAGGATTTAGTCATGTCCCCAGCATTGTTCAACCAGGCAGCTTCACAAGAACACTGTGTGCAAATAGATCAGCAGAAAATGGAGGTAGTGGTGTCATCCAGTCCTTAAAGGAGGCATTTTGTCCTTTTTTAAAGCAGCCTTGTTGGCCCCTCATAACATTAATAAACACAATACTGCTTTTCCATATTGCGGTCACTGGTGATCTACTTTCTATCCTGTGACCCAGTTAGATAACACCAGTCTAGCAGTTCCTCACACCTTGGTAGGGAAGTCTGCCTGATACTTTTGAGATCTGTGTTACATAGGAAAAGTGTATAGTTTGAGTTCTTACAGCCGAGTCTTACAAAATGCCCTTGTACATTTTTACTTTAGATCAGGCCAGGGAACCGATGGATTTGGCAATCTGTTTTGTCAAGCAAACACAATTTTTAGGAGCAAGATGTCTACCATGAATAAACTGTGAAAATAGAAATGCTTCTGATATTGAGAATATATAAGTTTTGTTTTTAAGCTACAAATAATGAATAGATGTAAGCAGGTAGGTTACATCAGTTTAAAAAAATGTTGTGGCATAGTAACATTAGTTAAAAATCTGGTTTAGCACATTTAGGCTGCAATCCTTTACCCAGTTATCTGGGAGCGAGCCCCATTGAATTTAGTCATCTTACCTCTGAGTAGACACATATAGGATTGTGCTGTTAATGTTAAGTTCAAGGAACCATGTCTCTGCAGTTCAGGTGTCAGCTATTTAGCTCTTCTTGAAAGTAGTGGAAGGAAAGAGATTATTTTCCAATTTAAAGGAATAACGAGCTGCTTTTAAAACTGATTTTCCATTTGTTCTCTTCCCCAGGACCAAGAAAAGTATGGATTATTAAATGTGACAAAGATTACAGAAAATGGGAAAAAAGTTCGGCAAGTATCTCCAGCACACTTCTAAGTTTTGACATTTAGGTATTTTAAATTTGGTCAGGCAAACATTCAACCATCAAAGCAATGTAAGGTTGCAAGTGGGTTACTTGTCAGCATATTTATATGCAAAGAAACCCTGTTTCAGTGAAACTTAAAGGAACTGATCAGCATTTTAAAGCCTGCAGCCACACTCACCACAAGGAACATGTTTAGGAAAGCAATTTTAAGTTTTTTGGATTTTCTGGGGACGTTTTCTGGAAGTGAGATAAATAGAACATTTTTGCAGTGTTATTGGTTGAAGCCAATCTGTAGTGGCTCTCTTTGCAACTGTTAGGGTTCTAAACGGAGCATTTTAATGTAAGAGAATAAGTAGAATAAGCCTGGCTACATATTGCACCTACAACACACAAACGTGATATAGTGTGTGCTGTAAGTTTGAGCTACTGTGACTCAGGCCCATGCTGGGGGGTGGGGACAGCTGGGCACACTGGCCCCAGGCTTTGGAGGGCTCAGCTGGCCAGGGGCCCCTGCCAGGAACCAGATGCCTTTTTGTTTGAATTTATAGCTTTATTCCCACCCCAGGCCTCAGACAAGCTCTGCACAGAGAAGCCTGATGTGACTAGTTAGTCTCAAAATAAAGGATTGCTTTTATGTAGCATTCCTGTTTTGGTGATTTCAGCAGGCCAAATTGGCCTTTTGTCAATAACAGCTATACCTGTAGACACAGTGATACAAAGGGTCATTTGTCAAGCACCACTGGGCAGTCTCAGTTATTTGGTCAATCTCCTTGACTGTGTACAATTGCCTACCTCTCCTACAGAAAAAACTGGATGTCCTCATGGGCTGTATTGCAAGGTCCCTCGTTATTGTTTACCAAGACTCAAGGAGGTGGGACTAGCTGGGTAAGTACTGGAAAGTTACTGTTTTTTCAGACTCCTCCCCCTCATCTCTACTGTTAATGCAACCATGTGGAGATACCATGCATTAATGCAGTACAAGCGATTGCAGAGTGGGGGTTAAAACGAGCAGCTCCACCTAGTGGAGAAGCTTTGTTCTGTATGAAGTGGCCCACAGCCGTGGCACAAAGAAGTGACTCTTTTAAACTGATGGAATTCAAAATGGGGCTTTGTAAGCACTCCCAAGCCATCTGAAATGCCCATCTTTCCCAAGGTTGGTTAAGACAAGACAAAAGTATACCCCTTGTCCAGGCTACTAAACGTCAATAGCCAACAGGGCCATGGTGGAGACAAGTGTTGCCATGGGAATTTAGGAATATTAATACAGGCAACTCCCAGTTCACGCAGGGGTTATGTTCCAAGGCATCATGTGTTTATGTGAAAGTGTGTGTATTTGAAACACCATTGAAAAAGCCTGCAAACCGCTGCTCCACTCCCTTTTGTGACTTTTTGGGTGACTTCTGAGTTCAGCGTGATGCACGTGTGCCCGGTTGCACACGTGTCGGACACGCCAAAAACAGTCATTGCCTGTATGGGCAGGTTGTGCAATGTCTGGGGCAGGGAAGCCTTCTAAAAACAAATTGGCAATGTTTGTTTTTCCCTCCAGAAGTTTGGGGTCAACCAATCCAAGCCGGAGTTCACAGTGGATCTCAGGGGTGCATTTGTTGACTGGGCTTCTAAGGAGAAATCGAGCAAGAAGAATGTGATTGAGGTGACTGTTTTTGCCTAACTTTATTTTGGGTACTTAACATGACCATAGAAAAAATGGGTAATGAGTTAAGCCTTTTACAAAAAATATTTACGACAAACCTTTTTAAACTTAGAAATGTGAATATTTAAGTGGCATATAAATGTCTTAAACTGTCGGGGTTTCTTAGAATAGATAGAGTATAATATAGTAATTGACCTAGCAATCGGGTATTTTGGAGCAACACATTAAATACGTACTTCCATTCTAATGCCCAGATTTCTTTTATTTTAAAGCTGAAAACACGGCAAGGAACTGAATTATTAATCCAGTCGGATAATGACATTTCTGTAAATGAATGGTTTAAAGTTCTTAATTTTGCTATCAGTAACCAGGTATGTACTTAGATTATAAACTTTTTATCTGCAAACCATCATAAGTTATGGCTCTCCCTACCACCATTCCATTTCTCCCTCTTGCTTGACTGTTTGATGAATACTTCACCCTGAAACAACTAACTAAACCACAATATAGGACCAAAGCAGCACTTGCTCTGGAATTTTGAGACACATCAGTGGATGAGGATTGTTTTTAGAATGTTTTTAATGATTTGTTTCCCGCCCTGGGCTCCTTTGGGATGAAGGGTGGGAAAACTGAATAAGATGATGATAATAAAAATAAGCTAGTGAGATCATCATCTTTATTATGGCCAATAGAGGAAAAAAATCATCACCTCAAATAACCACAGAATATATTTTTTGAAAACTAAAAAGATATTCCTGTAGTTCTAATTGAGGGTTGTGTCCAACTAATGCTTAATGTACCTAAATTAGCCACTAATTTCAGTGGGTCTACTCTGAGTAAAGTTTAGTTGACTGCAAACCACAATAAGAATATAATTATAGATAAAAAATTGTTCAAATGTTGAGATTCAAAAAGGAACATTATCTAGTTCACGGTTTATGTGGAATATGAACTAGATATTTCTAGCTTATGTCCTGAAGTATATATACTGTGTGAGCTGAATTGCAGCCAGGTCTTCAAGACTTGTTTGGACCATTTCTTTGTCCCTTGATACAGTCCAATATTATTTTGGGATTGAGAAGAGGCATGTACAGATGTATGTATTGCTGTACTACAATTTCCAAAGGAATCCCTGCAGTAGTGTTTAGCATGTGGCATTGATAAACTTGTGGCATTGCACCTAATGATCTTGTCACTGCTGCATATACAAATTGATTCTTGAGATACTCAAATGTCTACCAGTTTTGTCCCAAGTGGACAAATACGTCTTGTACAGATTTATTGGTGTTTCAGTTTTGCTTGGTCTGTTAAAGATTTTATTTAGCTACTGAAGAAAAGGACCTTCTTAAGCAGGAACCTGTTTTTGCACTTTCTGTAGGCTCTGAACTGCTATTGAGTGATGCATATATCGGTGGTTCCTTTTGTACCTTTGTTCTGAATGCCTCCTGAATTTCCAGGGTTAAAGATGATTTTTTTCTCTGATTTACAAAGAGGAAATAGGTTAGGGTAGAGAGGGTTAGAACTGATTTATAGCTTTCTAACTAGAAAACTAGTTTCTATTTTCTTAGGGTTTTACATAGTAAATCTGTGGGGGCTCAGAGCAGCGAATGTGGACAGTTAACTATTTTGTTTATTGACTTACTTGAGAAGGAAAAGTGCTGGATTTTGCAATCCTAGAAGGAATTTTAGAGTGGAGAATCATGGTGTTTCAGTATTAAGGTCAAACAATTAAGTCAAACAAACTAATAAAATAACTGGCAGTTTGCTTGAAATGCTGCCCCAAACATCATGTTCCAGGTACGTAGCCTTACTGGGACACTGCCAGTAGCTTTCCCAGTTTGCACAAGATTTGCCTGGCACTAACTGAATGATTCCATTAGCGTCAGACGTTTAGCCGAGAGAGTCAGTAGAGCTTTGTTAGGTTGACTTAACTGTATAGTTCTGATCTTTTGCTTGAGAAGACTTTTGCCAACAGGTGTTTCCAGAGTATGAAACCACCAAGACCAATTTTCAGTGCAAATTACACCGGTGTTGCATCTTTGTCATACAAACAAGAGTGATTAATTTGCTCGCAGCAGTGCCAATTCTGCTTCCAAAAGTGATTTACAGATGCCATGTGGATAGGGAGTCCATTGGAAATCTATGTTCCATTGTAAAATGAAAATGGCTTCAAAATCATTTTACCAGTTTCATTAAATCATGTGTTAGTAATTTTGAAATCATCCTAATGGTGTTATATGAAGGATGTTGCACTTTAAAGAAGAGCTGTTAAACTTGGTAGCAACAAAGACATTGAATCCTTTTCTTATTCTCAATAGACAGTAGAGTCTGATGAGCCATTCGATGATGAGGTGCCAGATTCTCCTGGGGTGGAAAAACAGGACAAAGAAAAGGACCATAAAGACTCCAAAAAACTTCGTTGTAAGTTTAAATTCAGAGTAAATGCCTATGCTTCACTCCACCTACCTCCAGCAGTAATACCACCACTGGCCACTTCTGCCTGCTCTTTGGTCAGGGGCATCACCAGCAGAGACTAACAGGGCTGGGCAGAAGGATTTCTCTGTCTCAACTACGCCAACTCCATAGCAGATTGGATTGCATTATAAATCAGTCACTTGAGTTGGCTTTGGGGCAGAGCACAGGTCTGAGTTGAGCCAAGTGAAGAGAAGAAACCGTCTCCCCTCTCTGCCATAAATATTTGGAACTTGCCTAGTGGCTGCTCTTATAGTTGATATTCAGATTTGATATTATGGTGCAATTTCTTCTTCTGAGGATTTCACCTTCAGCACAGGCTATGTTTTATAAATTAGGACAAAATAGCTGAAAACACCAGTTTTTTAATATGCAGCTTGCTTGTTTTTTGTTTGCAGCAATAAAATTATCTGGCAGCATTGATGCTTCAGAACAGAAAAAGACCAAAACGAAACTGAAGAAATTTTTAACCCGCAGACCCACATTGCAAGCTGTCCGTGAAAAAGGCTATATCAAGGGTAAGCTTTTTGTTTTCAATATTTGTAATAACCCTTGGCTAGCAGACTATTAACATCAATTTCTTACGTCTGAGTAGGATAGCTATTTCCTCAGGAAATAGCAGTGAGCTTGGTTGCTTGCAGCATTAATTTTTTAAATCCTAGATAGCTGCACACTGAAGATCCGTGTTGAGACTAAATTCAAAAGAATTCTTCAAGATAAAAATAAACACTATACTCTTCCCAGTGAAGATTCAATGTAATCTCTCTTTGCACCCAGAAAGAAAACATTAATCATGAAGTTCAGCACAAGCATGCTTTCCATTTTTTAGAGGAGTCCTCAACTTTAAAATATTTGGTGTTATATGGTTCTTGTTTCTGCTTCCACAGCTGGTTTTGCTGTTCTTCTTTCTGTATGTCTGGACAAAAAGAGACTACTTGCAGCATGGGATTGTGATTGGGCTTATCTGGCATGGCTTTCACTTATATATTCCTACGCGGAGGGAGAATATCTTCTCCCATTAGTTCCCACAAGGACTTTCTTTGTCCACTGTAGTCCTGGTAAAGAGGGAATAAAATAACAGACACCCAAGACAACCACAACACATCCTGTGGCATAACACATTTGTTAGTCTTTGTTTTTACTGCAACAAAATAACATGGCTTCTCTTCTGGAAATCTTCCAGGAAAACGGTGATACAGCCCTAAGAGGAAATAGCCAGCTTCTCAGTATTTCTTAGCTCTCCCCACCTCAAGGGTATCTTACGTCCCTAGGAAATACAGCCTTTGAAGTGTCCACGTTAAAGACCAAAAACAGTATTATTCTGAGGATTACACTTAACATATTTGTGTCCTTGAAGCTCTAAGGCTAATTGGGTTCAGAGAAAATACTTTTCTCAAGACAACCCAGGATGTTGCACAGACAGTCCCTTTCTGTATCCATATATGGATCTGTATACAGATGTTTTCAGTAAGAAATGTAACACACTATCCATCAGATCACACTTTTTCCTTTGCAGGGATGCAGTGTCAGGCTAGACTTGTCACTGAGCAGAGGAGATGTGCCACTTAGCCAAAAATCAGTTTGTCTTCCAGGTTGTGTGCTCTCACCCTGCCACTGGTGGTGGTGGTGACTGCTAGAACGTTGGGCAAGTTTTCTGGTTACACCAATTCTAAGGTCTCTTTCATTTCCCCCAATTCTGGTCAAACTTGTTCACTCAGGAGCAACTTCTGAACTGCATGCCATTCTCAGAGGATATAAGGGTTTTTTGAAACTGCTTTTCTCTGGAAATATTACAAGTCAGACCTATAATTGGTCTAAAGTTCAGAAGACGTCAGGGTCTGACTTAGGTCATTCTGTCATCTGTTGCCAAATAGGAGCATGTCTTTAATGAAAGAGGATTTTGCCCAATCTTATTGTGAAACTGTTCCACACAAAATTCCCTACACAAAAAAAACCAAGTCCTTTCAAAAACCTGGAATGAAGGAAAGGGGAGTCTTTCCACACGGAGGGGAGGTTATGTTCATGAGTATGGGTCTTAAGTGCTGTGCCGCATTTTGTCTCTTTTCGCATGCCAACATTTCTGCTCACAAGCAGAAGGGAAAAGGTAGCCGATTTCTGCAAAATGAAATAACCTGCTGGAGTACAGTTCAAAAGGTGTCACAGTGGCTCAAGAATGGGCCATGTCAATATCTTGCTTTCTGCTAGCAAGACAAGGCTGGTTGGGAATCCCCCCCCCCGTTGGTATCATTTTTGTTGGAAGCCCTGTTCACTCTGAGAAGTTCAGCTCAATCACTTGTGTCGTGTAGTCATTAAGAGGGGTAGTCTCGTAATCTGGGTAACCGGGTTCGCGTCTCCGCTCCTCCACATGCAGCTGCTGGGTGACCTTGGGCTAGTCACACTTCTTTGAAGTCTCTCAGCCCCACTCACCTCACAGAGTGTTTGTTGTGGGGGAGGAAGGGAAAGGAGAATGTTAGCCGCTTTGAGACTCCTGAAGGTGAGTGAAAGGCGGGATATCAAATCCAAACTCCTCTTCTTCTTCTTCTTCTTGTAAACTGCTTTCTTTCCCTGTTTTTCAGATCAAGTGTTTGGCTGCAATCTAAACAGCTTGTGTCAAAGAGAGAACAGCACTGTGCCAAAATTTGTGAAACTGTGTATTGAATATGTTGAAGAACATGGTAGGTGAAAGATACCTCACTTTTTAATATTAAACAATGTTTTTTATAGTAACTGGTTAGAGGCTTAGTAAAAATTTCACATAGAAGGACATGTGACTACTATAGACACATATCTGGGCATAATGTACACTCTATGAACCATAAAAATAGTTTCTCAGCCCTTTTCCTCCTTAACTGCTGGAAATGACTTGCTTAGAAACTTTAGAATCTTTCCATTTTTAATTATTCCTATACAACTATGTTTTAATGCTTTATAGTGCAATCATGGCCTATTCAGAAGTATGTCCCCCTGAGTTTAATGAGAGTTACTTCCAGGTAAGCATGTAGGATTGCAGCCTGATTGTGTTCCTTCTGCTATTCCAAAAGGAGAGGCACAGTCTACAGCTTCAAAAAAGAACTGCAAGAGTATGTTGTAATAGCAAGTTTGTTTAAATATTTTACCTTGTTGACCTCCAGAATAGTTCACTTTGCCACATAGATTTAATTTTAACAAGTAGACCGAACTTTTCAAAGCGTTAGCAGAAGCAAACTTCTCAGTCTATTTGAGTGCCTGCTGCTGCAGCCATGGAGAGATCGAGGATGGCTGACAGTGTACCCCCACTCTTGATTGCTGCCTGCTACCACCATCTGTCCAGTTAAGCTTTGAAATGCTGGGCAAAATTACTAACTTCAAGAGACTCTAGGAAAAGCAACAACCCCCAACACTAAAGGACAATTGGAAGCCCATTGTAATAGAATATAAGAAGGAGTTTGTCAGCAAATGCTGAATATTGTATAATTCTTCTTGTTTATGAAAATTGTATCATCTTTTTGAAGGAGAGTAATCATTTCTTTTTTTGTTGCATTTTATTAAAATAAATGTTGTTCATTCTAAAACATGAATTTACACCTATAAACCACTTACTGAACAAAACTTTAAAATTTGTTCTAGGATTGGATGTTGACGGGCTGTATAGAGTTAGTGGCAATCTTGCAGTAATACAGAAGTTGAGATTTGCTGTTAATCATGGTAAGTTGCTATACGTAACAATCAGTAGTCTGCAGTGTTAACACTAAATTTATTTAGTTCTTAGCATCTGTAAAGTACCAATACATCAACTAACAAATTATATTGTTTATGAAATACTGTATTTTTGCTCTATAAGACGCACCTAGTTTTTGGAGGAGGAAAACAAGATCTGGGATAGCCACCGAAGCCTCTCCCGGGCAGTGGGATGAAGGCTCCCCCTGACCGGAAGAGGCTGAGCGTGGCTAAGCTGCCCTCTGTCCCCTCCCGCAAAAGCCAGCCAAGAGCCGTGCGCTCTTTAAAGGGAGCGCGGCTCTTGGGGGCTTTTCTACGAGGTGGGGGAACGGACAGAGCCGCGCTCTCTGTCCCTTCCCCCCACCTCCCACAAGAGCCGTGCGAAGCCTCCGCAGGGCAGCAGGGAGCCCTTGCGGAGGCTTTGGGGGGCTATCCCAGAAGCTGTGCAGCACTCCCTCATGCTGTTCTGGCTTCTGGGGTAGCCTGCGAAGCCTCCGCAGGGCAGCGGGATGAAGGCACCCTGCTGCCCTGTGGAGGCTTCGCGCAGTTAAGCCAGAAGCTAGAACAACAAGAGGGAGCGCTGTGCAGTGCTCCCTCTCCCTGTTATGGTTTCGCCGCACAGCCTGCATTCGCTCCATAAGACGCACACACATTTCCCCTTACTTTTTAGGAGGGAAAAAGTGTGTTTTATAGAGCAAAAAATATGGTAGGTTTTTAATCTTTAACATATGTGTGTGTGTGCATATACAGTCATACCTCGGGTTGCAAATGTGATCCGTGTGGGAGGCACATTCACAACCCGCAGCGTCTGCGCATGCATGTGATGCAATTTGGCGCTTCTGCGCGAGTGCTGAAACCCGGAAGTAACCCGTTCCGCTACTTCTGGGTTTGGCATGGTCCGCAACCTGCAGCGTTCGTAACCTGAGATATGACTGTGTATGTGTGTACACACACACACACCCCCTTCATACCTTGTTTGAACATTGTATTCTAGAATAAGAACTGTGATGGCTCATGTAGCTAAACACTCTAATACTGTATCTGTTTTAGATGAAAAACTGGATTTGAACGACAGTAAATGGGAAGATATCCATGTGATTACAGGAGCTCTGAAAATGTTTTTTAGAGAACTGCCAGAACCACTATTCACTTACACTCATTTCAATGACTTTGTTAATGCAATCAGTAAGTATATGCTAAAGAAGCCTTCCACCCTAAGACAATTGTATAGCAACTTCAGAACTACGGCCATGTCAGACAGTTATACAAAAATAAGATAACTGAGTTGCAAAATCAGGAAGCGCCCCCCCCCCCAATTCAAATTTCACCTTGGTCATGACCTCACTAGGATTGTGGCTTAAACAAATCACAATCTGTTGGCCTCAGAACTTCATACTCAGCTGCAGCGTTAGGATAATACTGATCTACTTTGCAGGCTATTGTTAGGATTGCAACACGATTACGCATGGGAAGTGCTCTGAACATTCCTTAAAGTTGGACTGCACACCTGTGGCTCTCCAGATGTTGGAATCCAGCTCTCATCAGTCTTAGCCAGCATAGGCAATGGTTGGGGAGGTGCTGTACAGCAAGACCTGGAGGGCTGAAGGTTAGCCATTCCTGCTGAAAGGAAACAACAGAAAGCACTTAAGTGGGTAGGTGCAGAGAAATGATGAAAATCAAATTCCTTTCCATTTTCAAAGTGAGGCAAATGGTCAAGCAGTGCACTATATTATGCAGAGCACATATCCAAGCAAAATGAATATGAAATTCAAACTGTGGATATGGCCCACTCTTTTTAAAATTCCTTTTGTTTATTTGAAACATTACTGAATATGATTTTCAATATAACGAACAATTACACATGAACATGCACACACATTTAATTAAGCTATTTCACACATGTGGGTGAATCACTTCCTTATTTTCTTAGCTTTTGTAAACAGGGAGAAGTGTAAAGAGGGACAGTTACTTTTTGTAGTGAACTGCCCATTCCCAGGTTTCATTTAAGCCAAGTTCCACAGCATTAAGATGCTGTAGAAGTCTCAGGAGTCAATTCTGCAAGAGGCAAATACATTTCCTCTAGTTTTGTTGTTGTAGAATGGCTATGTTCACTATGGCCACTAGGTGGTAATATGCATTAGCTAATGTCCTTGCAATCAAACCATAAACAGTGAAAAGCAATGTGCTTAAAAGTTCCCTCTCCCCGCTCTCCCTCTCCAGAACAAGAGCCTAGACAGCGTGTTCATGCTGTAAAAGAGCTGATTAAACAGTTGCCAAAGCCAAATCAAGATACCATGCAGGTGCTCTTCAAACATCTCAAGAGGTAAGTAGTGCATGGAAGAAAAATGTGGCTCGGTCTGTTTTTCACATCCACAAATGAAGAAACGTGATGAAATCACATTTCTATTTTGCTCTGGAGGTCACCTTGCCCAGCCCCCTTGTGCCTGCCTTCTAGAAAAACAAGTTCAAGCGTTGCTTTTTTAAACTCAGTTTTGTGTAAATTTGTGGTGGGAAAAAGGGGCCAGAGCTATAAAGGGGTTTAGCTGTCTGTGAGAGGTCTTGATGTGCATTGGTGCTGATATATGTGGCTGCATGCTTCCCCAGGGAGAAATGGAGACTGATCATGCTGCAAAGTTCCAGAAGGATACAAAAAGTATGCGCAGGCTTCATTCGTTTTGTAATCTGAGAAAGCATCCTGTGAATGTGACAATTGCTTAGTTGAAGCTGTTTGCACATATCAATGTTTCTGGATTAGGATACCTGCATGCAGAATTTCATTAGGGAAGTTATTATGCTATCTGCCTTCTCATTTGTGATATGAATTTCTGTTGGAAGTTCAGTGTTTGCTCTCTTTCCCCTCCTCTCTCTCAGAATTGTAGAAAATGGAGAGAAGAACCGAATGACCTATCAAAGCATAGCCATAGTCTTTGGACCAACCCTGTTGAAGCCAGAGAAAGAGACTGGCAACATAGCCATTCACACAGTGTATCAGAACCAGATTGTAGAATTAATCCTACTGGAATTGAACTCCATCTTTGGACGCTGAATTTCTCCGGTGAAACTGGCCTTAGTAGGAGAACTTGGTTTCGGCAGAAACTGCACCTCTTTTGTACATTTATGCATTTGTGGACCAAGCAGCAACTTGATGTTTTTTGCACTTTTGTGGGAGAGGGAAGAGTGTGTGATTTGTTTTACCTGGGCTTTTGTGGAACTATTAAAACTTATTTACAGTTCACTTAATGTTGTGAATGTTTCAAGGTTTAAACTGCGTAACTAGTACACACTGGATTCCACGGGGAGAGAAGCTAAGCCTCGATCTCAAACTGGATAACCTGGAATAGTGTTTTAATATTGATTTTTAATTTTAGGTTCACCACTTTGTTTTGGGGAATATAACCCCCATAAACTGACTTTGAAAACCTCCATGGGCATTTTTAGTGAATAATTACATTATATGCTTACGTGTTAAACCTTAAGATCATTCCTGTATCTTGTCCACAGGGTTTCTGCATTACTATTTGACAGGCTTAAACAAATGCTAACAGTGGCCAGTGTAAATTCCTCACGTGAGGTTTGCTTTTTTATTGTTTGAACTTTGCACATATTCTTGCTGGCTCTCTTGAATGCACACTAGTATTACTTCACACACTGAACTGGTACACGTATCCTGCAGAGGATATGCCATGGTCTGTGATGAACCAGAGCTTTCAACTAATAAAGTTCATTTTTTCAGGATATGTTTTGGGCTACACTTTACCTAAATAGTACCTTACAATCCTAACTGAAGGTTGATTTCCACACTGTACTGAATTATTGTCATGAACCTGTAATAGTGAAATTGGATGTAAATACAGAATTAATTCCTAACAGTGTTTTTTTTTCTTTTTGAAAAATATCTATATACACTGTTGCATATAGTTTCAGAGTACCTCCTTGTCCTACATTTCTAATAATGTGTAGCTAAGTAACTGGTATTGTGATGCCTCGAATGGATGTCTGAGTTTCCACAGAGAAATGGGCTACTTGTGCACTTTTAAATGCTAATTACATCTGCATGCAAATAATTGTAATGCAAACGGTACTGGAAAAATACTGAGTGTGCTTGCTTACATGGTTAATGCACTACAAGCAGAGCCTCTGATTTATTTAATATGTACAGGAGCTACATTAGAGAAATGTATGACAAATTCTAACATCTATAAATAGCAGAAGCCTATGCTTGAATAGATGGATGTTCGGATATAATGAAAATGCTAAATTTCAGGATTCCTTTTTACATTAATAATGTAGATTGATTTGTAAAATAGGTTTCAGATTTTGTTACAGGAGATGTGGTCTGCTGAAGATTTTTTTAAAATGTATTTTTCTAGACTAACCGCTGTATCTGACATTTGCTATGTGGGATCTGAATAAAGAAAATTGTTAGCTGTTTTGGAATTTGATGCTCCAGGTTTGGATGGTATTAGATTGCAGTGAAACTAGCATATCACCTGTTTGTTGGTAGCAATTGAATCAGGTACTGATTGTATTAAAATCTCTAAACGGCCTTTTGAAGTAAAAAGTACTCAAAAGTGACATGCAAACAAGAGTGAAACACATAAAACCACTGACTGACTTAATCTGAAAACTACCTCTGGTATTTGATCCCTGTGAACACAGAGGGCCTGAAAGATTCTTAAATCTTACAGACTGCTGTGAGCCAGAAAACCTACTTAGGGGAGGCATTCCAAAAGTGTGGCACCACTGCAGAAAAGACCCTGCTTAATACATTATGATCACAGAAGTTGAAGGAGTGAATTAATTTCTTAAAACATGCTGGGAGAAATCCCCTCGAGACATTATAGGGAAGTACCAGCATTATACGTTCAGCTCTGAGTTAGCATGTGTAATATATATCACTCACCTTTTTCCTTTAAAACTGATCGCAATATTCTTCCCCAGCTGCAGCTTATTCTTCAGGGAAGTCCCTTGTCAAGTGAATGGCAGAAATTTATCTACAAGGTAACCAGATATGCATTACAGTAAATAATTATTGGCCTCCAGAAAGAATGTTGTTGCATCTGATGAAAGACATTTCTTGCAAATCACTTGGGCACTCAGGTGCAAGAGGGAAGTCAATGAAAATTCCTTTACGCAGTATCCTTTATGTACCCCCGTCCACAAATCAGCTGCCAGCTATCACTACCTGGATCTTTAGAATATAAGCAAACTAGTATCATCACAATTAAGATTGCCCTGTTACACACAAGTGAAATGGTGTGAAGCAGTGGTTAAAGTGCTACACCAGGACTGGGGTGATGAAATTTCAGAATCCTACTCAGTTTCGAAGCTCAGTGGGTAGTTACGGAATAGATAATACCTCTTAGCCTAGCCTACTTTACAGGGTTGTTGTGAAGACAAAATGGGGGAGGAGAACCAAGGTCTGCCGACTCCACTGGCTGCCAGTTAATTTCTGGGCCCAACTCATAGTGATATAGGTAAAGGTAAAGGGACCCCTGAACATTAGGTCCAGTTGTGACTGACTCTGGGGTTGCGGCACTCATCTTGCTTTATTGGCCGAGGGAGCCGGTATACAGCTTCCAGGTCATGTGGCCAGCATGACTAAGCCACTTCTAGCAAACCAGAGCAGTACACGGAAACGCCGTTTACCTTCCCGCCGGAGCGGTACCTATTTATCTACTTGCACTTTGACGTGCTTTCAAACTGCTAGGTTGGCAGGAGCAGGGACCAAGCAACAGGAGCTCACCCCATCGCGGGGATTCGAACCACCAGCCTTCTGTTTGGCAAGTCCTAGGCTCTGTGGTTTAACCCACAGTGCCACCCGCCTTAAATGGCTCAAGACTGCAATATCACAAGGACCACCTCTTCCCATATGAACTGACTCAGACCCTGTGAACATAATCTGAGGTTCTCCTTCACATGCCCCCTCCATGAGAGGTTTCGAGGGCAGCAACACGAGAAAGAGCCTTTTCTGAAGTGGCTTCCCACTTGTGGAATGCTCTCTCCAGAGAGGCTCATTTGGCACCTTCGTTGCATTTCTTTAGGCACCAGGCAAAAACCTTCCTCTTCACCCAGGCCTTTCAATAATTAAACAAATTACAACCTTTTAAACCAGGGGTGTCCAAACTTTTTTCAAAAAGGGCCAGATTTGATGAAGTGAACATGTGTGAGGGCTGACCAAAGTTGACCTTTTTTATTTTAGGATTCAAGTTGTTGAGCATTTTATTGAATTGAAGTTGTTGAGGATTTTACCCCAGGAAGTAAAATGCTGCAGGCGCTGGATTCAACCAACCGGATTAGGCCCCTGAAACAGACTTTGGACATGCCTGTTTTAAACTCGTGTGTGTTTGGTTTGGTTTGTTATGTATTTTTGCATTTTTTATACTGTAAACCACTGGATGAAGGGTGGTATATAACTCAAATAATAATATTTAATTCCCTGAAGGAAAGGAGAGAAATAAATACAGTGAACACCTACACCACCTCTCTAGGTGGTGTAGTGCAATTTGATGATTAATGGTATTGAAAGCTGGTATTGGATATTTCAAAGAAACAAGAGTGGTATTCTACCTGTCCTTAAGCCAATGTCATGGAACAGCCCTACTGAAGCAATTTGGCTCAGGTTTCAAGCCAGGTGTTGGTTCAGTATTTATTAGTAGACTTACGTTTGGATCTATTCAGCCAATGCACGTGTGAAAGGGCACTACAACTCCAAAGTGATTTCAGGCCCATGGCTTTAGCCTTGATCTTCTCCAGTATGTTCAGGTCAAACACCTGCATCAGAGAAGCTGGTTATGCTTGGGTCAGCTTTCTGCATACTTTGGAATTCTGCTTGTGGGCAGAGTCCACACCAGAATCCCTGCTGCAGGCATTTGTCCTGATCCCATGGGAAACTGGAAAGGGTTGTGTGACAGCAGGGTCTGAGGGTCTGAAGGTGTGGTCCCACAGGCCCTGCGTGTTGCCTCTTCCTGTGAGTAATGGCTGAGCAGAGTCATTCAAGGAATTTAGCGGCTGAACTTCTCCTGCTTGAAACCGGTCTTCTGCCAAGTGCTCAGCCACCTTGCCAAAAATAGTAAGTTACAGAATGGAATAGAAAAATTCCAAAGTAACTTGGATCAAATTGATAGCTGCTTAATTAGAAGCCAAACTTCAGTTTCCTTCAGAATTTCTCCTGTAAAGGAGCAACTGATAATCTCTTGACCAATGGTGTCAGTCTCTGTTCTGATCTGATGCGATAGGTAAAGGTCACATGCTAGCTAAACATCTCCAAGCATCTTGTCAGTTCTGGGATACCAATAATTGGCTCTGACTTGAGCAATTAGCATAAGCAGAGGCTGTAGAGATTGCTAATGACTCTCTTTTCCTGCCTAATACGCAACAGAGGAAGGACCAAAGAGGAATGATAGATCAGAAGCTTTCTTTGTATTAGTGCCAGGTTCAATCACAGGGATTCCTGATTCATAGAATTGCAAAGTTAGAGGGGACCACAAGAGTCATCTAGTCCAACCCCCTGCAATGCAGGAATCATTTGCCCAACAGGGGTCTTGAACTCACCACCCTGAGATTAAGAGTTGCATGCTCTACGAACTGAGCTATGCTCTCAGCAGAGCTGAAAAGACTCATGCTGGACTCTTTGGAGCCACTGCCAGTCACTATAGATGGCATTAGACCAGATGGGCCAATGCACTGACTTGGTAGTCTCACATAACATGTCCCACAACGTCTATGACAACAGTTTCCTGAATCTAAATGCTTTAAAAAAATGTGTGTTGCAAGTGGTACCTCGGGTTAAGAACTTAATTTGTTCTGGAGGTCTGTTCTTAACCTGAGGTACCACTTTAGCTAATGGGGCCTCCCGCTGCCGCCATGCCACCACCACACAATCTCTGTTCTCATCCTGAAGCAAAGTTCTTAACCCAAGGTACTATTTCTGGGTTAGCGGAGTCTGTAACCTGAAGCATCTGTAACACAAGGTACCACTGTATATTGTGGCAGGAATTAATTGTGTTCGTCGGCATTGACAGGCCTTTACCTTTTCTCAAAGGCTTTGTAAATTTTCATTTTCTTTTTTTAAAAAAATGAACAGAAAAGTTTATGATTTATTGCAAGGAGAAAACTTGCAAGTCCCACACTGAACTTAAAACTCATTGGCACAAGTGAGCTGTTTAAAATAACCGGAGTCAGGCATAATGTTTGCAATTAGCATATCAAAGCTGTCAGCTCTATCACATCGGGATCTATTGTCCTGAAGTGTGGCTGTGCTACACTGAGTTTTGCTAACTCAGGCATTACTTTGTTGGAAATAGCGGCAGTGCTTTCCTTGGGGTGCTGGAAGGGAGGCCACCAATTAGTGACATTCAGAATACCTTGCGTTTTGCAAATTATGTAACTTTGTTTAGTCACCATAGATTGTTATGGCGGGTTGGGAACAAGACTGAATTTGATGCTATTTTGACTCAGGGAAGAAATATATGTTTAATCCCTCACATTTGCTTTAAGCAATACAATCTCTTAGGGTAAAACCTCAGTGCCTAGGACTTGCCGATCGTATGGTTGGCGGTTCAAATCCCCGCGGCGGGGTGAGCTCCCGTCGTTCGGTCCCAGCTCCTGCCCACCTAGCAGTTCGAAAGCACCCCTAAGTGCAAGTAGATAAATAGGTACCGCTTTATAGCGGGAAGGTAAATGGCGTTTCCGTGTGCTGCGCTGGTGCTGGCTCGCCAGAGCAGCTTTGTCACGCTGGCCACGTGACCCGGAAGTGTCTTCGGACAGCGCCGGCTCCCGGCCTCTTAAGCGAGATGAGCGCACAACCCTAGAGTCGGACACGACTGGCCCGTACGGGCAGGGGTACCTTTACCTTTTAACTCTTTACATGTTCCTTCATTTCACACCCTGGTAGGAGTACCAAAGACCTTTATACACATTCATTTTACGCCCTTGCCTGTATTGTGCCTCTGCAGATTCCTGACTCCCTAACAGTCGTTCATAAGGAGAGCAGGATAGAAGCTGCATGGTCAAGAGTTGCGTTCAGTTTCCCAAAGCTAACTTCTTGGTTCTTATGGTTAAGCTTGAGCACAGATAGCAAGTCACTTTTCTGTGACTACTCAGCTTTATGCCAAGGCAGAAAAGAGCAGCAATCTGTTGGAATCACTAATTTATATGCCGTAAACTTTGGCTAGGACAAGTTGGACGCAGTGCTCTGAAGAGGGCAGTTGCTGAATGTCTAAGGCATTCCAAAGCCACGCAAGAGAAAAAGAGACGCTCCCAGGAATCTTAATGAGCTCCCACAATTGCAACACTGTGTGGATGGAGCAGCTGCTGAGGCCGTTTTCTGCCGGATCAAGGCCTTACAAAACACCCTGTCCCAATAAGAATGGATTAAGTGAATATTTTCTACATTGCAATTTTGCTTAAAGGAAGCATTTGTAAAGCATTCCATTAGAAGGGGGTGGTGGTCTCTGTCTCAGCTCCCCTTTACCCCTCCAGAGAATAAGCTAGAATTCTGCATTTTGATTGATTTTATTGCTCAAAGAAATTTGATTTTTTAAAAACCAACAACCAAAAAACTTGGCTTTGATCACCAGCTGCATTTTCCATTGCAGACAAATGATTATGCAAAATTCCTTAAAAATGTGTTCTACAAAAGCAAGCATTACTGCATATGTAGAACTGGCTGCCTCTAGCTTCTTTTTTTATAATGGGTTGCAGAAAGTTTGTTAATCCATTTAAATCTTGCCCTTTAAATTTATTTACACAAAAGAAACCTTTTCTCCAAGGGGAAAAAAATCAGTCTTCTCCCTTCTGCTTCCAAATAACAGATACAACAAGTGACCACTACGAGGACAGCTGCTTAGAAGCCATCAACTTCCTGCAGGTTGTTTATTTTGACTTGCTACCGCAGGTGGAGCTTAAAGGAGGCAGACAGGAGGGGGACCATCTGCAGTTAATGCAGATTAAAGGCACACTTGAGCACCTTTTGAGTGCAGAGATTTTTGTTTCAAGGCGCAGCAAACTCATTTTAGGCAGAAGGAAGAGGGAAGCCCAGCTGAAGTCTAAAAAGCTTTCTCTGTTTATTCACAAAGGGGAGGCCAGACAATGTACTAGTTGTGCCTAGGAGCCAACTCCTAGGGCCCAAGGTCCCTTTGCCCCTCCTAATAATATTTGCGGGGGCCACCTCCCAAGTTGATGGGCATTGCCATTCAAATGGGGGGGGGTGCCACGTCTTGTGATCAATTATGTGGGGCGGGGCTTACCTGGCCCCTCCCCCAATATTTCATTCAAGTTGGCACCCCTGGTTTTGTGTAAATATTGAACAAGCCTATTTGCTATTGAGCTTAAGAAAGAAAGAAAGAAAGAAAGAAAGAAGCCAGACAATGTGCACACATTCTTGCAAATGATCAGCTTGATAACTGATACAGTTTAGAGAAGAATAAACTTACCGTATTTTTCGCCCCATAGGACGCACCGCCCCATAGGACGCACCGCCCCATAGGACGCACCTAGTTTTTTGGGGGGGGAAATAAAGAAAAAAAATTATTTCCCCCCCAGGCGCGGGGCTGCCGCGGGGGAAGCCCGAGCTTCCCCCAACCCCAGCCCCCAGAACAGCCTGCTATCCGCAAGCTTAGGGAGCCCGGCGGGAAGTCGCCCCAGTCTCCCCAGGCTTGCGGAGAGCTGTGCGAAGCCCGGGCGCGCTCTTCAGCGCGCCCCTGGCTTCAGAATGCAGGCAGCTCTGCGCAACCCTTGGGAGACTGGCACGACTTCGCGCCGGTTTCCTGAGGGTTGCGCAGAGCTTCCTGAAGCCTGGAGAGCGAGAGGGGTCGATGCGCACCGACCCCTCTCGCTCTCCAGGCTTCAGCGAAAGCCTGCATTTGCCCCATAGGACGCACACACATTTCCCCTTCATTTTTGGAGGGGGAAAAGTGCGTCCTATAGGGTGAAAAATACGGTATATAAGGGATATGATGAGCAGATTCCCAAACTAGTCTCAGTTTCACTCTCCCTTCATATTTAGGAGTACAAATAACCAGAAACTTCCAAAAGAAAAACTAAGGAAAATCCCCCCAAATCACTAAACAGGTCTACACAGTCCATGCTTAAAGTGTGGAAGGAAAAAGTAGCCACTATTCCAACATGCAACACAAAACATCCAAACAAAAACATGGCAAGCCAAAGGCTTATATCACCTAACAGACTTCTTCAAAATCAACAACAACCATCCTGACACAAGAAACACAAGAAAACTAGGGGACACCCAAATACCCTGGCTAACACACTCCCAACTGCATGTCTTCTTAACAGCCCAGCAGTAAAAGCAGAAGCCACTAGGCCTTTGACCACCTTCGACCTACTTCCTAAAGTACAGAACTTTAATAAAAAATAAATAGAATAAAAATCTATAGCAGGACCTGGTGGTTATAAACACAATAAGCTGTTCTGTAAGCAGCTTAAGGCCCACACACCATACATGTAGAACACATTTTCCTGTCCCCCCAAGAATCTTGAGAACTGGTTCGTTAAGGATGCTGGGAGTTGCAGTTCTGTAAACTGCTGTTCCCAGGATTCTTTGGGACGTGTGTGCTTGGAAAGGCGGACTGCTTATGCTTTTGGTTTCAATGGGAGAACGAAGCACCCCTGCAACTTGGCCACAGTGGTGCAAAAGGAATTCAAAAGTATGTGAATCCATTGAACTCAGCAGCACTTACTTCTGAGTAAACGTGCAGAGGATTGGGCTGTAAATCATGTTGCAGTTTCCAGTTCCAAACTATTTTTAGTTATCTTTTCCAGGACTTTGATACAGCTTTTGGCGCTTTCGCTCTCTCCAACCACTCATGTCATTCCTTTCCCCTTTTTGGTAAGCACGGATAGATTTTCCTGCATGTCTTCAGCCGCCCACCTGCTATTTTGCCTGCCCTGAAAGTCAGTGTGACTGGAGATTGTTTGTTTCCTTATTTGTACAATCTCCTCATTGAGAATGTCGGCAGGAATGTGCACTGCCTGGCAAGCGCCCCGAATTCGCTACTTTGCCTGCAGACAGTGTAAAAAGGGCTTGAGCAAGTCCTGCAGTTGCCTTCTAATGAGCCTGAGCTGGAAACGAGAGACACTTCACTGATCACAAATGTACTTGGAACAACTCTCTCTTTCCTTATTTAAAACGACCAAAATGGCTCTCTTTTACTAAAGATGAATGGACAATCATTATCCTAATGCAATGCAAATTCATTTTATGCTAATTTACTATGTACCATCCATAAACCTGCTGTCAGTGTATCATACTCCTATACTTAATTTGAAGAGATGTATAATTTCATACACTAACAATTTGCTTAAAAAAGACTCCTCCATGCCAAGATCTTTGGTGAGGGGTGATCAATCAACCTAAAAACACTTGATAAAGGGGGGGGGGCGAAACCACTCGATAAAATCAATAATGTCAAATACTTTATGTTCAAGCAGTAAACAGCTGCAAGCATTATTTTGCTAATTGTATTAACTGGAGATTTGATTGCATAAAGAGCCTATTCTTCCATTAGTAACAGAAAAATAAGAATATATACCCTTGTTATGGGCAAATAACTGTGGAGGGTCAGTAGCAATAAAACAAAATCTCTTACAATACAATCCTAGGCATGTGCACTCAGAAGTAAACCCCATTGAGCTCATCGAGACTCATCCTGTCGTACTCTCATTGCTGAGCAACAACATGCAGAGCTCAGTGGAGTGGGAGGCCAGTCAACCGGAAGAGTCTGAGGTGCACTTACCTGGAGGCTGAGTCAGTTTATGAAGTCAGGTCCAGTCCTAGGGTTGAGTGAACAGCAATCCGCATGGTCAAACAGTCCAGAGGTCAGGTCATCCAATGATCAGTGGGTCAAGATGAGCAGGCAACAGCAAGGCAATGCCAGGAACTACAAGCATTGTCTTCAGCATCTGACTGCTGCTGGAAGCTCTGCTTAAGGCTGAAGTCAGCTGGTTCTCATCAGGTCCTTCTCCTCTGTGTCCTTGAAGGCTGATCAGCTGCAGGTGGAGGCACTCTGCCTTCTCCTCCTTCAGGCTGCTCTTCAGCAGGCGAAGCTGACTCCTAGCCCATGGCACATTCCTAGGAAAGTGCATATAGGATTGCAAACTGAATATCTAGTAATCTTAGGATAAATTTAAAATTAGACTCTCACCTAAATTGCCTTTGGCTTCAGTCATAGATGATCCTAACAGATACTCATAGATTTCATTTTTAAAAAACCACCTCATATAGGTATAAAGATCTACCAAAGTTCCATCTAGTCCAACATCCTGTTCCCACAGTGGCCAACAAGACCTACACTGGAACCTCAAAAGCAGGCAAGGGCGCTATAGACCTCTCAAGTGTTATCAAGAGGTATAGTCCTCCTTATCAAAATGGCTGACTGCATGTTATGCACAAACTAGTATAACAGAACTGCAGGAATGTCTCATAAATTGAGAAAAGCAGCTTGTGTTGGGTATTTTAAACTAAGAAGCAGTGAGTGATGAACACTTTGGGCTCATCCACACTTTGCTTGTGCCATGCCTAGAATAGATGGGTCTGAGCAGCTTTCCGCTTGACCCACACTTTCTAGGCACGGTCTGAGTGGTTTCCCCCTTGCCCAGCTCCTTTCCAAGGGAAAACCTGCTCTTTAGCGATAGATCAGAACAAATGGCAATTTGCGGAAAAACCCAAATTGCTGTTTGAACGCTAAGGAGAAGTTTTCTTTGGATGAAAGTAGCGGGACAAGAGGAAGTGTGGACAAACCCTTTGCCTGCCGGACATTTCCTTGTTCCAAATCATGCTTTTTACATGGTTTTCCATGGACTGATGTTTGCTCTGATTCGGTGGTAAAGAGCAGCTTTTCCAGAGAAAGAGCAACCAGTAAGAAATGGAGGAGGATTTAAGCTGGATCCCAAGTCCACTCAGCTTGGTCATGCTGGCTGGCAGCCTGGAGTGAAACACTATTTTAAAGGCTTGCTTTCCATCTGGCAGGCTTAGCTAGTGCAGCAGCGGCAGCCCTGCTTAACTTATGCCACTGTGCTTTCCACCCGCTTCTTGTGCATAGGCTTGCTCCTTATAACTATACACTGTTCTTCACTCAAGATTCTGCCTTCGCAAGTTGCTACTCCTATCTCTGTCTCTCTCAGTATCTGGGTTCTGCACATGCGTTTGTGCATAGAGCTTAGTTGGCTCCCAATTCGCTCAGTACATTGTTCCAGGTCTCACTACACAAGAGTGAGGGCTGGTGCCCATTGAGACTACCAGGACAGAATGCAGGGAGACCAACAGCAGATGGGGCCAGAGTCAATGACAGGCAGAGACTCACCTGGGCTGGTTGTAAGGAACAAGGAAAAAGGGTAAGTTCTGTTTTGACAGAATCTTAACTTTTAACTGCATTTCTGATGTACTAACTGCTGCTGCGGGACGCGGGTGCTGCTGTGGTCTAAACCACTGAGCCTCTTGGGCTTGCCGATCAAAAGGCCAGTGGTTCGAATCCCTGCAATGGGGCGAGCTCCTGTTGCTTGGTCCCAGCTCCTGCCAACCTAGCAGTTCGAAAGCACGCCAGTGCAAGTAGATAAATAGGTACCGCTCTGGTGGGAAGGTAAACGGTGTTTTGGTGCACCGCTCTGCTTTCACCAGAAGCGGCTTAGTCATGCTGGCCACATGACCCGGAAAAACTGTCTGCAGACAAACGTCGGCTCCCTCGGCCAGTAAAGCGAGATGAGCGCCGCACCCCCAGAGTCATCTGCGACTGGACTTAACTTTCAGGGGTCCTTTACTTTACTTTTAACTGCTTCTGCAGAAGCTTCTCTACTGCTAGGAATTTTGCTTTTGAGCAGACAGCTGCATTCCTTTTTAAGGCACAGAAAACATCTGGTACCTACTAACTTTGTTTTTCATTAAAGCCAGTTGTTCCCAAGCAGTTTTAAAACCTCAACAAAGTAAGGAGATGTGATGTCCTCTGGCTATTAAAATTCAAGACTCTTCTGTGATTCATAATTTCCACTACCGACAAACGTGATTTGACAGCATCTCACTTCACATGGGACCAGCTCCTCCCTTATTGTGCCTGCCTGATTTTGCAGGGCTGTTTAGTCCTAGTGTTTTCTTTCTACTCCTCTAGGGCAGTCTGTGGTGGAGTTCATTACGACAGCCCCCTTAAATTATGACAGTTCATTATGACAGCCCCCCAAAACTTCAGGCAGCTGTGTTGATCCATTACCACACAGAAACTTCAAAGAGCAACAGAACATAGCACACTACCTAGTTTCTTAGATTCAGCATGACTGCAATCCTATGCATGGTTTTTCGGGACTGAGCTCCTTTGAACTCAGTGGTACTTACTTCTAACTGCATAGGTTCAACTTGTAAAACACATTGAGCTGTAACAAAAGATCTTAGCCAGCTGAAATGGAACCTTTCAGCTTTTAATTAGAAATGAAAACCATCTTGCAAATAAGCATTACCACGTAAACTGCTAACATGAAGTTAGACCTCCATGAAATAAAAGGGGAAAAAAGTATCCTGTCTCTGCTTAATTATTTTCCTCCTAGCTTGCTGGCAGGTGTGGAGGACATCTGGCCCTCCAGATGTTGCTGAAATACAACTCCCACCAGCCTCAAGCATGGCCAAGGATGATGGGAACTGTAGTTCAGAAATATCTGGAGGCTCAGAGAGTCCCTCCCCCCCTGCTTTATGGCTCTGCTAATATGTCTTCAAAGAAACTTGAAAGCCTCCTTATCACCTCACTCACTTGTCAAGGCAAGCAGATTCCTTCAAGTACCCCGGTGCTCCTGCAGATTATGTCTTTGCTCTTGCTCTGAGAAAAGTCCCAGAGCTGCAATCCACTGTATCTCCTAAATCTGTATTTCCAAACCTTGTTTGCAGGGGGAAAGGGATGGCAGCAGAGATATTTTCTTGTTTAACTGAAAACACGCACAAGCTGAACACTGTTGTTTGCAAGTGTGTGATACTCTCCATTAATGGGGGTGCCCATATATTAAAAGAACTTTTAATACTTGCTGTTTCCTTCTACTGCGGTAAATGGTACTGTACTACAACATACAGAACATTTCTTACTACTACTACTACTACTACTACTACTACTAATTTCATATTTATACCCCGCCCATATTGCTGGGTTTCCCCAGCCACTTTGGGTGGCTTATAGACTATATAAAACACAATGAAGCATCAAACATTAAAAGCTTCCCAATACAGGGCTGCCTTCAGATGTCTTCTATAAGTTGAATAGTTTTTATCTCCTTGACATCTGAAGGGAGGGTGTTCCAAAGGGAGGGTGCCACTACTGAGAAGGCCCTCTGCCAGGTTCCCTGTAACTTCTCTTCTTGCAGTGAGGGAACCAGCAGAAGACTCTTGGAGGAAGGTACCTTTTTCTGTGTAAAATAAACATGGAATGCTCAGGTAACACGTATCCCCCCTCTATCATATGCTTATTGCTGGTGTGGAACCAGGATGATCTATTCTAGGGAACTGCATTTTTCTCATAAGGGAAGGAGTCTTCATCCCAGCTCAAGCCTTTTGTTTTCCCAAAGGCTGCAAAACCTTTGCTAAGCTGTTATTCGCAGCATAATTATTCCCCTTTAATGCCTCGGAAACCTGAGATTCTTGATGACTCCGACTATGGGGACAGGGCCATTTTTTATGGGCTTTTTGAAATTTGCTGCAACAACTGAGTAGAGAGTCTCAGGGGGGATTTGGCAGTGCAGTTTCCTTGAAGTCATAGTGGGGATCCCTCTGAAACAATTGTTTAGGGGTTTGGTTCAGTGTGTTGCACATTTATTTTTAATAATAGTTATATACTGCTAACTCATGTAGATAATGCCTGAGCAAATATAAAATCACAGTAAATATATCAAAAATATAAATGTCACAACTGGCCAATCACATAAACTCCATCCAACTGAAAAGACCTGCCGACACTAGGAGGATTTCAAAAGACATCTTAAAAATAAGAGCACCAGAAAGTGCTGGATCAGGCAGTGACCCATCTAGGCCACCATCCTGTTCTCACAGTGGCCAGCCACATGCCTATGGGAAGTCCACCAGCAGGACCCGTGTACAAGAGCACTCTATCTACTTGTGGTTCCCCACAACTGGAATTCAGGGCCACGTTGCCTCTGACCATGGAGGCAGAATATAGCCGTTGTGACTAGAAGCCACTGAGAGCCTTATCCTCCATGAATTTGTCTAATCCTCTTTCAAAGCCATCCAAGCTGGGCATCATCATCATCATCATTTGGGGGAATGAAATCCAGTTTAACCATGAGCTATGTGAAGAAGCATTCTCTGAAGTCACGCCAGGAAGAACTCTTGCTGATTTTCTGTAGCATCATTCAGGGCAGCACAGAATTGGATCCTGGGATTTGCCTTGGTACTATGAAACTAATGAATCTTATGCTTCATGGCCCCTAATCCTGGAGGGGCCCCAGAAGTGACTTTAGTCCACATTGCTTAATTTTTGGGCGGTCAAGACCTGACTTGAGTCACACAATTCAAACCATTCTGTGATGCATCATGCATGTATATAACATTTCCCTAATTTTAGCCCCCCCCCCAATAACTTGAAAACTATAAGGCACAGGAATTTTTTATTCATACCAGTGACTTTGACATGTGAAATAATCCAGTACAGCATTTTTTTTCCTTTTCAAAATCTCAGATGTAGTAGTTAATTTAAAAATAAATAAATTGTGATGATCTGTCATGGGACAACCCAATGAAGGAAATAACTGTGGTTACTCAGACCTCATTGCTGGTCACAAAGGGGGGCCCATAGCAGTTCAAGCTTCAGGCCCCCAAAATGTAGGTCAACCACTGACTGTAGAAGGCTCATGACCAAAAAATGTATGCCGTGGTGCCTAGGAATTTCTCCATCCCACTGACCCCGTTAAACCATTCTTCTTTCCCCAAAGGTGCTGAAAGATCCATCTTGGTGCTGATTCCTCTGAAGAGCCTTTGCTACCCCTGGTGACGAAGAAGCAGGGTGTCTTCTTGCAACACTGGAGAGCCCAGCGTGGGAGTAGCATGACTAAGGATGGCAAATTAGGTTAACTGCTGAAGGAGGACAGGAG